AGTAGCCTGCTGAATTAGGCCTTGATCTGTTTTACTGTTTTTTAGCATTATACACGAGCTTGAGGACAAAAAGCTTCTTTTTATATGGCTGTTACTTTTCTTTGCTACGTATCGGCTAGGTAGAACGTATACAGCATGTGCACGTTCTCGTCGAAGGTTTTCTGCCTTTACTCAGACCGCAAATCTTCACAGAATTTAGCCTTGAAACTTTATGTCTGTTGAACAGAATGGAATTGTAAGCAGTTCCATTTATCTGCTTAATATAGTCAGCATTCGTGCAAGATTAAGCCACTTTCGAAATGGGCTACATTATCAGCGTTCTACCATTCAGCAGCGAAGAATTGCGTACCTCAGCAGTTTGTACACCCTTCGCAAGTTGTGCTTAAGTTCGGAGTGTAGATATGACTTTTTATCTCTGTTCTGATGCTTACCTTAAGGTACCGCTAGCTTATATTGGGGCCTTTTACATGTCCAAGGCCACGTTCAGATCGGAAGCATCTCCTGCGCATTGATCGCGCATTGTCTCTTCATGGCAGTCACGCATGCAATCTGTTGCGAAACGGTCTAATTCACATGTCAATGGTTTGTCGATGCACCCGAACAGATACTTACGCATCAAAAATTCCATTAATTATCGATGGAAACCCTTTATACCAGCCACATTCATTGTATTAATAAGGCTTTTGTGTACATTTGGCCGATCAACTTCTCGTAGATACGACGAAGGTCTAGATGGTACCCCTTTTAATATAACAGCCATGCTTCACTGTATACATCTGTACGTCGCTCGGAGTTAAGCAAAGCTGAGCAGAGTTGAGAGAAATGCCAATTTAACAATAAACCATTTTTATTGAATTCCTTGAACAAGGAACCGGACACAATATAAGTCACACAGTGCGCAGTGATGTTGTTCTCACTGCAGCAGGTTTGAGGATTATTCAGGTGCATGTCCAGAACTAGGACACTTTTTATTTTGTTAGTTGAGGTATTTTTTGTTCAACGCTAAGCCAGATTTTATTTTGTTGATTAATAACCAGACCTCAAGTTATTTCTCGTCTCACTGCCTACTTTACTTGCTTTATTTTGTTCAATTTGTAGTCTGCTCCTGTAGAGACGATAGATCCTATCGTTGCGTCCTCGGATTCGCACTTCATGCTTGTCTCCTAGAAACGAATAATTTCACAGTCTCAGGTCCCCAACCAAACTGTCGCATATGCTCCCCCTCCAGTTCTAAACTGGCATAGATGGTTAACGAAGCCGGGTGACTTGGACTGTGTACATTTTTGGGACATTCTTCGCATTTCCATTCTCTTCTTTCTGAAGACCTGCTTCGTCTTCTGCATTTTCTCTTCCTCTGCATGCCTTTCATTCGTGTTTTCATACTCGCATACAAGGTGTTCGCCCCCCAGTGTGTTGTCTCAAGAATTTCTATGAGGACGGGGTCAGAGCCCTCCATACTCCTCGTAGCGGCATTCTTCTACGGGGTCCACCAACGTCAATAACCTATTTTCTTTTTCGTTGTTTTCCTTCTAAACACAAAGCCTCAAGGAATCTAATCTTACAGAATTTCAGGGTGGCTGTTTTGTGCGCAATCAGGGGTCACTCACTGCGTATGCATCTCCACACCAATCTGTGAATACTGTCTTCGACTCTTTGGTTCCACTCATTTCTTTCAATGTTTCCAATGCTGCTATTTTTTCGTTTTTCTTTACTAGTTCTTTTCTTTTCTCGTCAAACCAGGAATTTGGAGATAAATGCACATGTATGCAGGTGTTTTAGTTTGTATACTAAATAGTATCATACATTTATTTCACCTGCCATCTTTCACGACAAGATCCCCTTCCTTTTCTCTACGCATTGTCTAAGTAACAAACATTGACAGCCTCACTTTCCTGGAAACCCTCCGGTACAAAATCTAGGAGCAATGTTATGTATCTTGTCCCAATGTACTTGTTTGTTTTCCTTTGCAGCCTATTGCGTACTTTCACAGAAGTATGACCAACGCTTTACACAAAAGGAGTCTTCCTGTAATCGCTACATCCTAAGTATTACCAGTAAAGTATTATTTCTAACTCCACTTTCTTTACGATTTTGAAATGGACCCCCGTTTTCTTAGCAGAACTGGGACCTCTTCTGGCCTCTTATGTCCCAACTTTTGTCTTCTTGAGTGCTGTGGGTTATCAAACACCGGATATCTCTAGCGAGACTGTATTCCAAATGCACGCGTAAATACCCTGTTTGCGAATTGCCGCCTGATTTTGTTATACACTCGAGCCTCGGGAGACGAGCAGTTCCATCTACGATCATTCCAGGCAACGAGCGAACCACTCAGAGAAAGTTCTTTCGATTGAGGTACTTACACTGAGGCAAAGGGTTTTCAATAGGTGTTTATTTCTGTGTCTACCGTTGAACCTCGCTCCAAGGGCGCGGTTCCCCGGTGGCCTGCAGCTAATCAGTGAACTAATGCAATTTGCTTGTCTACGTTTTGCAAACTGAGGGTTTCAGATGACGAGCTCGGTACTAGAACAGATTAAACTCGTGCCACCTTATGTGTTGCTGACTTGCTCATTTATTAGTCCCTTTTCTGGCTGTACGAGTTTACTCGCTGTCCTTTCGATATGCAGGATTTCTCGTAACTTCAGCTTTTAAGATCTCCAATGAGGTTAGTAGCGAGTCGGCGAAGCTTTTCCAAAGACGCTATCGACCACCTAAGAACCCCCAGGATACACCCTCTCCCCGGTGC